TCCCGTTCGGTCCATGCTGGAGCTCTTTTGTGATCCTGGGACTCTATCACGGTTACCTGTGCTGATGAGCTCTGCATGAGAATAGGGTCAAGCTATTAGGCTTACGTGAGCTGGAAGACAGAATAGTCCAGGCATTCTTTAAGAATAACTTATTTATCCTCTAATTAAATATTTATTGTTTTAGTTTTAGCTATGAACAAAAGTGTGTTTGAAAGGAAAACCGTACATGGACATGAGTCACATTGTTCTACATCTTACATATTTTTGGTTTTATTTTTCTATATATCATAGAGATAGTCAATATTTTTAAAATTCACAATTTTGATTAATTCCCTCAATGGAATTTCAAATTTCAACTTTTTTTAAAAGTTTGATGAACATTTCTATGATATTGTACATCATATTTCTAGCTATTTTTATACTTACCGGTAATTTGCCGATGTTCTTTTTTTAATCACCCAGCGACTTTATTCATTTATTTTTTTTGGTTGTCACTTAAACTGTGTAGAATGTTAAAAGGAAGGAGTTCTATAAGGAAATGAGAATGTGACTCCTTTAGTAGAGAGTTAGGGACAGAGGGAAAGGAGAGCCATCTTCAGAAGTCCAGCATATTTACTTCAGAAGCCAGCCAGTACACATGTTTAAATATAATAGATAGACTGAATCTGTTCTACAACCTTAAAAAAGAGGAAGTTGGCTTTTACCTCATACTGTAGAAGCTCATGCATTAAATTCCCAAGGCTCCAGGTTCAATCCCGACCGATGTCAAGCAAGTTCTGTTGGAGTTACATCTGCACACACTATTAAATGATGGGGAAGTTCCTGCTCTACCTTGAATTTGAAATGTTACGTTACATTGTCCTTGTTTTAATGGCTATAAACATAGAATGTGAGAGTTTCTTCCCTTTTTTCAGTAAAGAGAGTGAGTGATGGCAGCAGAGATTATCAATGCAGGATCTCTCGGAATCTGGCAGACGACGTCTTGCTTCTAAAATCCTTGGATGCTTTTCATCTGGGCTGCAAAGAATCTCGCAAGCTGGAAAAAATCCACAAGGGAGCCCTTGTGTCTCCCCCCACCCCCGCCCCAATACCTTGTTCTTCTCCTTTTAATAAAAGTACCTGGTTGTTGTGGTGTATTGCAAACATGCCTGTGAGTATTTTGATTCCACACAGTGGCTGTTTTGCTATTTCTTTTCCATAAAAATCCCTTCCTTCTGTTATCTTAACTACATATAAATAAAGAAACGGTCACTGCCATATGTAAAATCCACCCAGGGGTGTTCCTAGACCAGGGGACATACATATTTATATGTTTCAGTGAGCTCACGTGGATAAATCGTGACCTTTTCCTTGGTCCTTTGACAAAGCCGTTTGGTTTGTGTTGTGGTCAGAGGAGTTGGGTTCAGTCCCAGTTTGGCTGCACAGTGTGTAACGCCCACATCAATGCTCCACGGCATGTCGACCCTCTCTCTGCTCCCCTCGCCTCCCAAATTTCCCCATTATGAGGTCCCTTCTCTTGTGCCTGAGTGTCCAGACCTTGCCCTGTGCAGCAGGCTTCCATTTAAGAGCCCGAAGGGCATTGCAAATCCCAAAGACCCAGGCTTATAGAAACCTGAGCAAATTTGCAAGTGAGGGTGTAACTGAGGCAGCCACATGGGGTCCTCCCATGGAGAGGGAGAAACATATCTTTGCAGCAGCAAAAGATTGTTACCCCGGTGGCACCATTTAGGAAAGGCCTTCCCCCAACCCCGGCTAGTTTTGTACCAGATTTGTGTGAAGTGTGCAGCAGAAGGGAAGATGCTGCCCTTCCTCTCCCCACCCTCTCTGCCCTTCTCCGCTGTTGTTTGCAGCCATGCTGCCCTGACCCCCACTATGGGGCCACCGCTGCCATCGCTCCTCACCTGCTGATATGCTGCATAGAATGGGGTGGGGGCTGGTATCGGGATGTTCCAATCCACCTTCCCATTGCGGAAGTGGGTGGGCAGCGCACGCACCTCACCCCGGCCACTGATCTGCAGAGCTGCACCCACTGTGCCAACTAGGACTGAGGGTATGGCTGAACCCTCAGTAGCAGCACCTCCTTGGACACAGCCCCTCCCTGCATCCTGAGTTACACCTCTGTCGACCCCTATATACCTCCTGCCTGCACTTTGAGCTACACCTCTCCAGGAACACAGCCCCTAGCAACCTCCTACCTGGCCCCTGAAGTACACCCCCACCTGGAACCTGAGCTACCTCAATGCCTGCACACAGCTGCTAGTTACCCCCTGCCTGCATCCTCAGCAGTTTTCAAACTTTTTGAGCTGACCTCCCCCCCGCTATATTTTTTGGTTGTGGGCCCACCACCTTATATACAAAATCTTGAATTTTCAGGTGCCTAAGTAGCCCCAGGAATCATGATTAATATTCCGCACACCACTGTCTGAAATGGTGCCCCTGAAGTTACTTCAATCTTTTCTCGACAAACCAGCTCCTTCTCTCAGTGCCCTTTCCTCCTGCCCTGAGCCTACGTCCTCCTCACAGCCCCTATGGTGAACGTTTCAGGGACCAGACCTAGAGGGAGTTGTCTTGACTGGGAAAAGGCATTGTGTGAGAAAAGGGGTTAATGTATGACCAGGGAAGAGCAGAGGACTAGGACATAGGAAACCTGGATTCTGTGCCTATCTCTAGCCTGTTGGGTGACCCATAGGCCTGCCCCAAGAGGAGTTTGACCAATTAGGGCAAGTCCTGGGGCAGAGATTGACATGTAACCTGGAGCAAGAGGTGGCATATGACCCCCTCTAAAAACTCCTCCCACTCATTTCTAAATAAATATTATTTCTGTTTTTGAAGCATTACTGCTTGTGGGCCTATTATTGATCGGAGGCCTGTATCCATGTCCTTTCGAGGAACAGCAAGGCTAACTTGTTCAGGGGAGCCCTCTGGATATCAGAGACAAGCACCATGATAATATCCTAGAGGAATACGTCCCTTGGCCCGCGCCGCTTCCAGCAGCTCCCATTGGCCTGGAGCTGCAAACCGCGGCCAGTGGGAGCCGTGATTAGCTGAACCTGTGGATGTGGCAGGTAAACAAACCGGCCCGGACCACCTGGGGCTTTCCCTACACAAGCAGCATCCCAAGTTTGGGAAACACTGCACTAAGTCATTAGAATACAGTTTTAAAAACTTGTCAAAGGTAAACCATTGTTACGGTGATGGAAGGAAAACACACAGTGATAGCTACAGGTAGGAGTATGGGGCTTTTGTAATTGTCAAGCATGCAACATAATGTCAGCAGCATTTTTATTTAAAAATTTCATGCTGCTTCTAGGAAAGAACATGCTGTTCAGGCTGTGTCCGTATGAGAGAAGTAACTCTCTTTGGTAATTCTCCAGGTACAAGGTGAGCCAATGTTCACCCAGTTGGTTGTGTTGTCCACCTGATACAGACAGTGCCGGGGCCACCCGTACTTTCTTTTAAAAATGGGTTACTGACATAATCCGCAGGTTATAACCTTTGATTGCATCACCCATGAAGCAGAGGGCGTCATTACTGTTTATCAGTTTTATTTTCACATCCATACTTGTCAAGGCTGATTCCCCTCTCTGTCACTTCGAGTGCAGAAGGTGGGGGCCTACAAGGATTCTAAAAATTAATACTGGCCACTCTAGGCTTGTATTTAACTCCAAGGTTGCAGCTTTTCTCTGACCTTGGCTTGGTAACTGCTGCCACCACCCAAATGCAAAAACCCCTTGGACCCAGGAAGGAACACTTGAGAATTCCTCCCTGTGGGGTACTGTCAAGCCCTTTCACCCCCCTCTCTGGGGAAGAGCTGAGAAAGAAAACAAAGGAAATTAGCTCTTGCTACTAGCTAATCAAACAACATGCACAAACCTCTTCGGACACCAAAAATCCAATCGTGTTCTTAAAAAAGGTAAATTTTATTAAAAACAAAAAAGGAAGAAAATACATTTGGAATTTAGGCTTTTGCAAGATTTTAAAAGAGCAATTCCAAAAATTAAGCACCGAAAATAACTTTCTTGGGGGTACATCTTAAAGATTACAAGCAAACGAAAGCATCTGAGGTTAGCACAGAGGAGTCCACACGCCTTAAAAAATAAAGAGAAATAAAACTAATCGCGTCTTTCTAAACATTCCTAAATTACTTACATATTTGGGGGGGGTTCAAGTCAGTAATTCTAGGTACATTCTGATGATTTCTCAGACCTGGTTTAAAGCGTAGTCATAGCCCTGACTTTGCTATGCGTCACCCCCCACTCCGGAGAACAACCACACACACCAAGGGAAAGCTTCCTTCCCAATTTTAAAAAGTTCTAGTCTTCCCATTGTCTCTTTTAGTAAGGTGCCCTTTTCCTTACCTGGGGGACTTTTTTTTCCTTTTTCAGGTAAAGCAAGAAGAT